ACAAATGGTATTGTCAGTTGGTGTGAAAATTGGGTGCCCCTTCAGAAAGGTGTCTGTAATCTCAACAGTGAAAAATATTGAGACATTCAAGTAAGATCTGTGTTTGGGATGCACACAGAAGAGCATCTGATCAGGGAGGAAATTGCAAAGCAGAAGGGCTGTGCCCAGTGCGGTGGAGTCTCTGGTGTGCTGTTTGGGGGGGTGGCACTGCTCCTTGTTATTTGGGCCGTAGGCCTTAGTTTGGGGGATTCACCAGTCTAGCCTAGAGCATGTCTTGGCCAGTTTTGAGCTAGTTGTGTGTTTTGGGGGCGCGGGGGTTGTGTGTTTTTGAAGCCTCTGGGAAATCCGAGATCATATTTCCTGGTGTTTTAAGCTCTTTTGTGAGATCCCTAGTTCCACGGAAGCTAGGTACTTGTCGAGGCATGCCTTCTTTTCCAGTTACTCCTTCAGGGATGGAACCAGCCCTAACAATCATTAGACAGAGCATCTAATAATAGAGGTTCAGCTTTGTTATGTGAGCTCATGCTCTCTTTCTGCCTCCCATTTCTAAGTCTGAAAAATACATTGTCCAGGTTGCCAGTTAGAGTCCAGGAGATTCAAGGAAAACAGTAGATTGGATACAAATGCAAAAGGTATTTACTTTTCAGTACATAGAAAAGAAATAGAACTGGTGAGAATATAAAAAACCTTTGACTAAATGAAAGTATCACCAACATTCACGGGAATACCAGTTAGCAATAATGTTTCTCAACACTTGCTGCATATCAGAATCACCAGAGAGCATTTTGTTTTCTTTTTCCTTTTATTTTTTTGCAGGGGATGGGGGAGGATCTTGCTATTCAGTTTAGCCAGGCCTTGAACTCACCTTGTAACCTAGGCTGGCCTCAATCTCACGGCAAAATTCTCCTGACTCAGCCTCCTGAGGGCACACCACACGGGGTTAGGAGCATCTTTTTAAAAATATCAAGTCATTAAGACTAATCCAATTAGATTTGCTGTGGGCAGGACTGAGGCAACCCTGAGGCTTCCCTTTAAGTGCAGTCAGCTTTCCTACTGGGGTGCATCAAAGTCTGTCCACAAAAGACTCATTTATAGTCCCCAAATCCAAAGACACCCTAAAATATAGTGGTAGAACGTTATGTTTATGAATTCATATATGTAACAATGATTTTCAAGTTCAAAAAGTTGGGGTGGAGATACACATATTTGGAATACATTTTTTTGTAATTTGAGGTCACTAAGTGTCAGCTTCTTTTTTACACTAAAACTGTCCTTATCGGGAGCCTTTCCTGGTCCTCGTCACAGTCTGAGACATTTATATTTGTAATCTCATGGGAAAGTCATGGAATTCTAGTGAGTTAATTCCAATCTGTCACTTCCAGTGCAACCCACGGCAAGAATAAAGACATTAACACACATAAACATAATGTTTATAATTATGGGGCCAATGAGGTCCTAAATCTACCTTGATAGTGGTTCATTGGAACTAATGCCCTTACCGGGGACCCGCCCTGAATTTTATTAATTTGTGAAGAAGGGAGTGACTTGAGGATGAGTTACTGTGAGAATGGTGGGGCATGCTTGAGTACTGTGAGCTGGGCACCTCTGCATTATGCAGAAAGAAAGAGAGAAAGACCAATCTGCATAACACAGTTAAGGTGGCATTTAATGTTTTGGGGCAGGTACTTCATCTCTGATGTGCAAACTTTTCTGCCTGGGAAATCATAACCTTTTAGGTCAAAGCTCATCCCAGTTGACAACCTGGGGGGCGGCTCTCCATTCCCCCTCCTTGTCCCCCAAACTATGTTTTGGGAGCCTTGGAAAGGTGAAACAGTGAATATTCAGCACTCCAGCTAGCCCTGTTTACATGGCTTAGATGTAATTGAAGGTACAAGGAAATGTCCTAGCCAGCTCTGTACATATCAGTACATGGGTCAGGGCCAGGTTTAGCCAAAATGGAGATAATTGCTCTCTGTTCAAGGTGAGTCCTCCCCATGGTCCTCCACATTTCCTTAGAATTTCTGAGGGGAATTGAAGGTTTTAGACACCTGAGAGCAATGTCACCTCATGGTCCCTTACCAGAGATTTAAGAACATGATGCTCCCCCCCCTTCCTTAGAGAAGGCATTGAAAGTGCTCCCGAGAGGTGCCACTTATTGAATTTTCTTATAACTAACTGGCTCTGACCTCAAATCTACTGATTAAATGGGCAAGAGAGTTCATCCCCAGGGGAGAGTGAGAGGCCCTCCTCTGCCCGTGTAATAGTGGCTGGCACCTGCTGCTGCTCTGGCCTTCATCTCAAGCTCCAAGACAACACCTTCATTTGCCCGTCTGTGAATCCTTGCAGATGCCAAGGGAATTGTCATTCTTAAATGAGGTTCCAGGCCAGCAGCACCAGCTTACCTATTAGAAATGCAGTTCTTGAGCCCCAGCTCAGATGTCTGGGATCAGAAACTCTGGTCTGGCCCTCCTGAAGGTTATCATACATTCAGGTTTGGGAATCAGTAAGCAGCGACAAAAGCATGATCCTTGCTTTTCTAGTTAATAAGAGTTTACATAGAAAATCATGAAATGGGCATTTGTAAACAGAAGCCACACTTATGTGCTTCCTTCTCCCCTGTAGGCAGGTAAGAGCTGCAGATGAGGGAGTAGCCTCGAATCATTGAATTACTATCTGCAGGGTTCCTATTCCAATATCTGAGAGCTAGTAATCAGGTAGAGATATATTGTATACATATAAATATGTCATGATGGTATAGGTGAATGAAATTCCTGAACTACTGTATGTCTGGTATGAGCTCGTGTTCTCTAAAATCGAAGAAAGAATTTTAGGAACAATGGAGGTTAAGAGTGGAATGTTTTTATTGAGAGAAAGAAAGCTTCGGTCTGAGAGACACAAAGGGTCCCGCTGGGTTGCCAAAGATTCTGTATTTTCTCAGGATTTTTATAGACCGAGGTGAGGTGGATCTAAAGTGGGGAAAACCGGGAACTAGCAAAGTAGACAGGCATGAGGTGGGTCAGAACTTTGGTCAACCAGTAAGTTCAGGTAAAATTGACTAAATTAGGAGTAAATGAGAGAGCAAGTCTCGTTGGTAGTAAGCGGCATGCTTCACAGCAGTGAGCCTTCCTGTAGGGGGTGGGATGCTGCCTCCTAGCTTCCTCAGGGTGATGGAGGACTATCTGGACCGCAGATCCTTAGGATGTGGGTGTATTTGTTCTGCCTTTTGTCTTCAGATCTGGTCCGCAGCAGCTGATTGTCTTTTCCAAGACTGCAAGGTGTCTGAACTTGTGCTCCGGCTCCTTTAAGGGCCAGCCCTATCTGACTGCCTGTAATATTTCTAACTAACTCAGCTTCCTGTAATAATGAGATACACACAATGGATTAAGACAAATAGTCTATATATAAATACATAAAATTATCAGGGGAACCCAATTCAGGAAGTTTTAGAAATTGCGACACCATTGAGAATCCAAAAATCTTAAGAAAACTCTTGGGAGACAGCGCGAGCAGGGGAGGGGAGGAGAATGAAACCCAACGGGATTACTGGGTTGTTTAGTGCAAAAGAGACCACGATTTGCCTAGAAAATCCCACAGACGGATCTCCCGGGGCTGTTCAGTGCCCTGGGCCTGGACAGAGCAGAGGGTGACTTTTGATTTATCCCTAAGGTTTCTGAAGAATTCAGCCGCATTGTGACTTCAGGATTTTAAAATAGTTAACTGTGAAGACAGCTGTGCAGTGTCCTCCAAGGGTCATTAAAAATAGAATAGGCTCTCATCTCTCTTGGGAGTCCTGAAGACACAGAAAAGAACAAATGTTATCTCTAGAACCCTTCAAGCTCTTAGTGGTTGAAATTACGTTATTGCGTCTATCTATCTATATCTATCTATCTATCTATCTATCTATCTATCTATCTATCTATCTATCTGTCTACCTACCTACCTATCGATCTATCTAATCAATTCATAGCTCTCCTCTCCAGAATGTAGAAAACTTAACTATATGGTCTACCTTTTAAACACCATGGCTTACATGGTTAACATGAATCGTCGTCCTAGTAACAGAGAAATTAATCTTTCGAGAGACCCTAGTATCTAGATATCTGAATTTACTGGAACTCAGCTAAGTGCTTACCTGTATTACCTTTTAATCTTCTTCACCACCACCTGACAGAAGTGCTGTTAATGCTCTGCGTTTAGAAGGCATTTGAGCTGTGGTGAAACCCTGAGCTTTCAGCCACTCCACGTACGTCTCCTGGTGGTTCACTTTAGCCTTAGCTAGTGTTTGGGTGTAGGTGGGGATGTGACTTACTTTTGGAGCCTTTATCCTCAGGCTCAAATTGAGATGTGCAGTTACCTACCTTCTAGTACTCAACGTTCATTCTTTTTCTGGCTTGTGCTTCTAGACTTCCATTTGCAGCAATATTTTAACTTAATTATTGGTACTCTAAAAGCTCTTAGACTCCCATATAGTACTTTAAATATGCTGTGACGTTAAAGTAAAAAATTAACCACTGGGAGCCAGGCATCATTCTCTTGCCTGTGGGCTGTGCTTCAGTGCTGGAACAGAATTCACTAATGAAAGAGACATAAAAACCACCTCCCTGAAGATTTAAGAGAGTCATATATTCTGTCTAATTGTTATTTTCCTAGTTAACTTCATCTCCATTTGTGTACCTGCTATAGATTTTTAATTATATTCAGTTATTTCATGTCTTATAATTTACCTTGTCTTTTACGTCCTGTGATTGTCCAAAGAGTTTGTTTTGTGGTATATATATGGTTGGTTTTTTTTTTTTTTAAGCATATCAACATCCAGTTCTTTGGGATGAACTTCTTTTGATAGCTGACTAAAACATCCAGGAAGTTCACTGCCTCTTCACTTCAGACACCTTTTGAAGGAAAGGGGTTAATTTACTGCCTATGTAAGGGTCTTAAATATTCGTACTGCTTTTCAGAAGGAATGACTTTATAAATGCAATTATTTCTCCTTTTTATTTCAGGAATTACAACATATTGTTGGGTCACAACATATCAGAGCAGAGAAAGGTAATCACAAATCTTTATGACTATTTGAAATCCCGTGGGCCACTGGTCTTTGGGCTAATGTGGTTTCCTTTGTTTCTAGCTACGGTGGAAAGCTCGTGGTTTGAGCCGGTCAGGAGAGGCAAGCTGGAAACTCAGCCTTTTGCTCACCTCACTATTAATGCCACCAACATCCCATCAGGTGAGTTCTATTTGTAACTAGCTTCAAAAATATTTCAAAAGTCCCTCAGCAGCCCATTTAAATACTCAGGCCTATTATCATACTGTTACTGAGGTTTTTGAGAGCTCTTACACCTAAACCAGAAGAAAGTTCATCAGTCTTCAGTTGATATGCATCCTGGAAACAGTCTTAGCCTTGAAACCATTAGATTTCTTTTCAGCGCAACACAATGGGTGCTAATTTTACATGACTTCCCGGGTCATATGGATAGAAAGGATGGTCTCTTATCTATTTTTCCTCTACAAATGCGGATACTTCCCCACTGCTGACCTCTGAGGTGGATGAATTTATCTAGGTAGTCAGATACTAAGTGCTCTCCTGCCAAATTCCAGGTAGGGACTCAGCAGAGTGATCCTTAAAAGACAGTAGTCCTGTGAAAAATGAGACATTGTCCCTCGCCTTTAGGAGCTTATCATTTCCTGTGTGCGTTTAGTTCAGTAGAACAGAGACCTGGTTCCCTTTTGAGAACAAGAGAACACAGAGCTCCGGATCTGCAGCCGTCTTAATGTGCCAGGTACTACATGAGATAACCCTGCCAGTTATCACCTTGGGCTAGGTGAGGATCCAAGAAATAACAACAAATATTTAGGATAGAGTGCGGCTGAACGTTATTGTCCTTATGGTGCCACTTACTGAATATCTGCAATGGATCAGGCATTTTGCTCTATATTCATTGTCCCTAGGTAGTTATTCATATTTTGCAGATGGTGACACAAAGATTTCTACAGTTTGTCCTTTGTTCAAGGTCACAGTGGTGGCAGTATCACAAGTTGACTTCCAATCTGGTTAATTCCCAAATCTAAGCTTTGTATGCTTCCATTACCCTATAAGCGGGCTAGTAGGTGGCATGGGGGTAAGTTGGCTTTTTCAGAAGGAAATAATTCTTTTGTATTCTCTTTTCCTGTAAAAAGTAAATTAGTAGAGTGTCTAATGGCAGGGACTCTATAAGCTGACTGCTGCTACTCTCTTTGTGGCTCTGTGACCATGCGCAGGTTACTGGAATCTGGGCCACTTCACCATATCTAAGACGTGCACAGTGATCGTGCCTTCCTGTGTGCCAGCCGTGAAGACTGAGGCAGGTCATGTGCTTGCATTCTTGCATGCAAGCACTCGGAGAGTGAGGTTTATTTTTATTATTTGAGCTTCATTCAATGACCGTATCTATTCCACTTCATTTTACAAATATCTTCAGGCAAGTTTTGTTTTGAGTTAAAAATAGTCCAAATTTTAGAAAATACTTTCAGAGTCATTTATCAACACAGGATATGGGAAAGGTTTTTTTTTTTTTTTTTTTTCCCCTTCTGTCTCTCATAGAAAACATGTAAATTGAGAAACCAACTCTTGGGTTTTTGAGGAATTTTCTAAACTACCTATCCTATTCCAGTTACTCTCTTCATAAACAGATTTTCTCTCTTTGTCTGTGTGTGCCTTCTGGCAGAACTATACTTATTTTCTCTGAGTGGTATTTTGCATGGTAGCAAAGGCAATCAAATTAATGCTGGTGCATCAGCTGTGTGTGCTATGAATGTACCCTACATTTATCTTTTCAGTTTATTTTAAATGGCATATGATAAATACTGCATTAGACTGTGTGCCAAAGTCTGTTTGGCAATAGAAAGCATGTTTCAATTATAAAGCTCTCTCTGCATGCACCTAGAATCAAATCATCGCCAAAAAACAAGGCAAAATTCTGGTTATTTTCTGACAGTTATTGGGTTTGTGAGGCAGGGAAATGAGTTAGTGTATGCTTCTGGTTAAGAAAATAGAACTGAACCAACAGCTCCTTGAGCCCAGTCTCCAGTGGTAACCAGTATTTGGATGCATCATAAGAAGATAGCTTTAATTTTGTGTTTTCATTTTGGGGCTCTATTTTATGTTAATCCACACATAATAAAGCAAAATCTGCCTTATACAGACAGTTACTTTGTGCATTTTCAAAGCTTTTTGAATAAAATGCATTGAGAACTGTTATACGGGGTCAGACATATGGCTTTGTTTAGGGAGATGCTCAAAATAAATAATTACAGAGGTCTCTTTTCTGGTATTGGAAGCGGGGACCATAGCACAGGGCAGGGGAGGCTGTGTAGGCTGCAGAGGAGAGCAATGGCGTGGCTCACTGGTGATGGAAACCCAGCTGCCACATCAGGCCCTCCAGCCTGATCGCAGCATGTTTCTCTTGACTCTTTTGACACTGCTCTCTACTTCCACAACTTCTAGTCACACTGTCTGGCTTGCGCACTGCGGCCCTGGGTGCCGTGTGTGGTCCACTCCTTCAGGTGGATTCCTCACCTGCAGGGTTTCCCTTTTCTCAAAGTGTCCGAATTTGTCACGAGTCCTCTGTCCTCTGGCTCCTCTGTCCCCCTCATGGAGCCTAGCTCTCCTGAAGTTGGGTAGTTTTTTATTGGCAGTTTCTTATTACTGAATGTCTACATGTCATCTCGTGGCAAAAATGAAAATGTTATATTTGTTATGCATATTTCTGTTTTTCTCCACTCTTAGTGGTATCATGAGGCTAATACTGCTTGATATTATTCTTAATCACAGGGATGTGAATGGCCATGGAAAGCGCCACACCAGTATTTTAAGCCAGATGAACAGAACGAAGCAGTGGATACTTGAATTCTTTATCTGTTTCTTTAATGGACAAAAATAGAGATCTTCACAGGAAATAAACACACTTCTTCTTCCACCTGAGTTGCCTGCCATGGTGGTAGGATCAGTTGGAGTTCTGTGTCCTCCGTTCTATTCTGTATCCCTTTGTGGCCTGCCCTGGCCACATGTTGCTCAGACAGGAGGCAGTCATCCCATTTAAAGGGTAGACTTCATTTCAGTCGCTCTGCTTCTCTCTGTTAAGACATAACTATAAGATGATTTATTGCACGAAATGAAAGATTGATTACACCACAGCAGTAGAATAAGGAGGAGAACAACATATAACTTGAGCTAGGAAACACCTTCAGTTTCATTAGCCTTGTCTATGGGTCCGGTGACTATTTAGCAGCCTGGAGTGACGATTCACTGAATAGGCTCTTGTAGTCTCATGTTGTCTTTTTCAGTGTTTAATTTTGTTTTGATGGTGGTACTAGGTATTGACTCAGGGCCTCATACACACAGTGATGCCTCGCTTTATGAACTCAATTTTCTCCATTATTCTAGTTGGAAAAAGAACTATATGCGATTGAATCAAATTTCTTCATAAAGTCACCACTGAACCTAACTTTGGAATTTGATTCTGATCTCATCTGACTCAGTTTGCAAACAGAATCGTAGAAAGAATAGAGCCATGAACTGACGGACCACTGGTATTAGGCAAGTGCTTACCATTGAGCTATTTCACCAGTCATTTGCTATCATCAGTTTTTAAAGATCTAGTAAAATACGCTAAAGATCTGAAATACAAAAATCACTGGACACATTTGCTGATTTAGAATATTCTTTAAAAATGTTCAGTGCTCCAGAAATACTAATACAAGGATCAGTTGTCACCTCATTTCAGGAATGAGAAGGCGCCAAATGAAAATTCATTCAGGAAAGATTTTCTTTTTGGTCACAGTGAATTGTGTGAAATTTTTATTTTTATTTTTATTTTTTTTTGTACCAGGGGTCAAACTCATGACCTGGTGCTTGCCAGGCAGGTGCTCATGCTGCTGAGCTAAATCCCTGGCCCCTTGTGTGAAGTTTTTAAGGTGGATAGTGCAATGCTGACAATTTTTGGATTTGTCTGAGGGTAGTTTTCCAGGTGTGTGAACCTGGAGACCTATGAGCCATTGGAGCCTATCGTGATAAAAATTGAGTTTTGGGGGTTGGCGTTTGCCCAAAGTTACTGTGACCCAGATTTTCATATTTTTACATATTCCTTTTACATATTCCTCTTCATGAAACAAAAGAGAAGGTTGAGACGTCTGAAACATGGAAACTCTCTTCCTACATTCATTTTTGGCTTTCCTGTCTCATTAGGCTTTGGCTAATTCTCCTTCAACCTAAAATGACCTCTCTGCTTCTGTCTGTGTGAGTGAATCCTATTCCTTTTTTTAAGTTCTCAAGCCTAATAGCAACTGGACAAAGTCATTTTTGATCTCTGTGGGCGGAAATTATCTCTGTATCCTTTGAATTCCCAAAGCAGTTATACACACAGGTCTTTTCTATACTCTTTGCTTATTATCTGAACTGAGCTAGTTACTTACCCCTGGTGTCCTGGAGCTTCCTGAGAAGCAGGAGGAGGGAGTGTTTGTCTTTGTACCTTCAAATGTGCCTCACAGTAAATATATCTGAATGCATAGAAAACGAATTCCGAGAAGTTATTCCCCATTGGAATAATGACTACTATTCTGTTTTTTTTCTAACCTCACAGAATTGAGAATGTTCTCATTTAAATCACATACCTTTCCTCTCCACAGGTTCCCATAAAGTGAGTCTGTCTTCTTGGTACCATAACCGGGGCTGGGCCAAGATCTCCAACATGACTTTGAGCAATGGAAAACTAATGGTTAATCAAGACGGCTTTTATTACCTGTATGCCAACATTTGCTTTCGACATCATGAGACATCAGGAGGATTAGCTACGAAGTATCTTCAACTGATGGTGTATGTCACCAAAAGCAGCATCAAAATTCCGAGTTCTCATACTCTGATGAAAGGAGGAAGCACCAAATACTGGTCAGGGAATTCTGAATTCCATTTTTATTCCATAAATGTTGGAGGATTTTTTAAACTACGATCTGGTGAAGAAATCAGCATTGAAGTATCCAATCCTTCCCTGCTTGATCCAGATCAAGATGCAACATACTTTGGGGCTTTTAAAGTTCGTGATATAGACTGAGAGTCATTTTGTGGAGCTTTACCAAATATTTCCTAAATGTTTGGAAATTCTGTTTTAGACAAGCCAAGAAGGATGTATATAAGTGTTTAAGACTACTAAGAGGCATGGCTCACAATGGTACAGAATTCATCTGTATTCTTGAGATTGTTTGAAAGCATGTATATTTACGGTCAGTGAGAGATGTTGGACTCCTGGTGTATTATACAATGGTTTTACAATTTTGTAATGAATTCCTAGGATTAAACGAGATTAGAGCAAGTATGACTGCCCTCATGAAAATCTACATACGGGCCATGACAGGGGTTAATTCTCTGGGTCTAAACCGTGGTTGTATGCCACTATGCACTTCAAGAGGAGGGTGTCATCACAATGAATGATCATCTAAAGGGTTAAGTTCTGTTGAATTGTTACATCATGCTGGAACCTGCAAACAAATACTTTTTCTAATAGAAGAGAAAATAATATGTATTTTTATATAATATCTAAATTTATATTTCAGATGTAATGTTTTCTTTGCAAAATATTGTAAATTATATTTGTGCTATAGTATTTGATTCAAAGTATTTAAAAATGTCTCACTGTTGGCATATTTAATGTTTTAAATGTACAGACATATTTAACTGGTGCACTTTGTAAATTCCCTAGGGAAAACTTGCAGCTAAGGAGGGGAAATACTGTTTCCTAATATCAAATGTAGTGTATATCTTCATTCTTTTTTAACTTAATAGATTTTCAGATTTGTCAGGCTTGTGCAAAATAAATAAATAAATAAAATGGATACCTTGAAAAGCAAGCAGGATATTGGCCACCAGGCACCTTTCAAATTTAGAAACTAATTGACTTCAGAAAGCTGACATAACCAAAAAAGATACAAAGTAGGCTACTGAAATCTGTCAGGAGTATTTATATAATTATTGAACAGGTGTCTTTTTTCTACACGTGCTGCAAATTGTAAATTTTTTTAAACAGAAAACTTGCTAGTGGTTTATCAGCAGAAAGCAATCCAATTTGTAATGTAGTAGAAGTTATTTTATACTGTACAATAAAAATTTTGCCTTTGAATGTTAACTTTTGGTACAAAAATAAATTTATATGAAATATGCCTGTGATTTTGTACATCCCTTTGTGGTCCTATTCTTTCCAATGTGATAATATGGCTTCTATCTTTTTTTCAAAGGTTACTGGGAGAAATGCAGATTTAATTAAAAACTAGGAACAGATTCAATTAAATTAATGAACCTTGATATTTGAAAAATCATTTGCAAGGAATTTGTATGCAAGGATGTAACCAGGTAGAAAATGGATGTTCTTGTTCAGAAAAGTTTATATTATGAAAAAAAAAAAAAAAAGACATGTCCCTTGGAGGAATACTTGGACATTTTCACTTACCATGGTAAAGAAGGATAAAGAGTGGCCTCATGAAAATTTATGCGGGCAAGTTGTCTATCCCAGTTGGTCATTTGTGTGAAGGAAATTCGAGCAAACAAGCAGCTTGGGAAGACACAGGAGGCCATCATTTAAGGCACTTGCCATTTGTGGATAAATGTTTCTCGATGGTTTTGACAGGGTGGATGGAGAGAAGGAATAGCAGATGTTACAAAGAAGAAACTCTAAATGATAAACAGCAGAACTGTAATGGTGTGGGATTCAGTCATTGGCCAAAAGACTATGCCTATTATTTTTTTAGAACTTAGCAAGTCTGAGGTAGACTACTGCAGTCTGTGGATATACTAGTGTCAAATTTGAAGTTACCTGTCATTTTAAATCAGGTTTTACAACTATACAGTACCGTATGTCCTTGTATCTTTCCAAAGCATTGTGTGCAGTGATTCTTGTTTAGTATTCTGCTTCCCATGTTTTCCCTTGTGTCTCATTCACCCCATTAAGTCCTCTTGAAAAATACCTAAAGACGATTTATTTCCTGGGTGGCTTCGGTGCAAAGCTGGGCCTCTCATGCCTTGTGCTTTCTCTTTCTGTGCCTGGATGTTGACTTGGTTTGAGGTAATGGTGTCAAGTTATCTTTGTCCTTTAGGTGAAACATCTTTTACTCAAACAGGAAATCCTACTTCTAGCTTACAGTACCAGGAGGGGCACACAGTGCATGTATTTGCTTCACTTTTGGCTTTGCTAATTGATTATCCAGATTCCTTGCTATGAAATTGAAATATGTTTCTTATAGCTGCATTTATAAATGCTAATTAGTTATTGATTCACATTATTATGATTTAGCCTTGTGTCACTTTCTATAATAAAAAACTATGCAACACAGTATTAGATTTTTAGCTATAAAACAAAACTATCCTTTTGATTAATAACATTTTTATGATACCTTTACTTTTCTGTTCTTGTAACTTAACAATTCTACTTTTTAGTTATCTCCCGTTCCCTTCCCTCGCCCCTTTCTTGTTGACAGATTGTCTTTGCGAGGCGTGCCACCATCGCATCTTGACCAGTGATTTATTTGTAACAAAAATCTCTGTGTCCAAGGACCTATGACAGATGTGCTGTTCAAGCAGAGTGTGAATTAGCTCTTGCATCCTCTTTTTGTTCTATCTAAACCCTCAGTGGTTTGAGTGATGCCCACTCACACTGATGATAGCATTCAAATGCTAATGTCTTCTAGATACACCCTAGAAGCTTTGTGCTACCATTCTGGGCATCTCTTAACCCAATCAAGTTGACACATAAAGTTAGCAGGAGAAAGACCTGACAACATCAGATATGCACCGAGACATTTAAAGCAACTTTCATTCCCCTCATCGAAGCTGTAAACATAGGTGACACATCTAAAAAGTAGATTCTAAGGGAGGTCAGGAATACAAATAAGGGGTGTTTGGCCTTTAGGAACTAGATGGGATTGCAACTTGGAGGTGGGAGTCTATCTCAGTTCAGGCATGAGAACTACATATTAGTATTTGAATTAAGATATAATTTTACTGCATGGCAAACAGATTAAGAACAGGGATTCAGCTCTGGAAGAAGACAGGCAGAATCCCCAGAAGTGACCCAGACTTCAGATAGCTAGGGATACAGGGAGTACTTCTCCTGTCAAGGTATTAGGGAAGCCCCAGGCATAAGAGAAAACCCCAGGTGCCCGTGATCTCTGGGCAGAAAGAGCCAGACAGACAGGCTCTTCTGAGGGGCCAATTCTGGAAAGTTCTATGGAAGGCTGTCCTTGACACTCTGAAAAATTTTTATGCTTCATATTATTTCACTAGGGCTGCCATAACAAATCACCATAACCTTTGAGGTGTAAAATAATATAAAATTGTATTTTCTCAGATCTGGAGTCAGAAGTCTAAAATCAAGGCATTGGCAGGGTCCTTTCCTTTAGAAAGGAGGCCTTTGCTTCTTCAGGGTTCTGGTAGCTCTGAGATTTCCTTGTGACTGCCCCACTCCCATCTCTGCTTTTGTCTTATATGACCTTCACTTATCTTTGTGTGTTTGCTGCTCTTGTTTCTTTAAGAACAGAAACTTTGGTTTTAGGGTCTATTCTGATAAACCAGGATGAGCTCATCTCAAGACTCTTAACTATATCACGATATGTTATAATATATTTATAATATTTTATAATTAATTACAATAAATTATAATTACATTTTAGAAAAGGTCATATAAGGTATAGGGTTTAGGACATAGACATCTTTTGGGGGCTGCCATTCTGGGTGGAATATTCTCCAAGATATTGTACACCAACAAGATGGTACACCATCTTTGGGTGGCCCATTCTGGTGGTATAGTCTCGCATTCTCAACTGTTGAGGATCCAGTCACTTGCCATCATCCCATTTGGCACCATAGCTCCTGAAGGGGAAGAGACTGAGATCGCGAAAATTCATAAGTAAAATATAGAATGATTCAAATGCTTTGAGCTGTAAATTTCAGAAAATTTGAATAGCATAGACAACCCTCAGGGTAAATAAACATAAGCAAGTTACTGTGTTGGATGGGAGGGAATAGAGACATTTTCTTTTCAAAATTTCCCTACTGTTGGTGTGCAGCTTTGAATTCAATGGTAAAAAGCATTGAAACCGATCTTTTCAATAGAGAAAAGAGACTGCGGTATTTGGTAGTAAGTGGATCCAGGCTCAGAGCTGTGGGCCTGTGGGCTTTTGAATGGACTGCCCTGGGAGTCTGGGGAAAAACCACATCAACTGGAAGAGTCAGGAGCCAGCTCTTTAGTAGAGAAAGAAGTCACCTCCCCAAGAGCTGTCTTTTACTATTCACACCATTGCTAAGAATTATATAAGCATCTAGGAGGCTAAAATCCCTACAGGAACCAGGCTTAGCATCCAGCATGCCAAAATACCCTTCTAATTTTCCCCTTCTCTCTTTTATTCCTGAATCTAGAAGACAAGAGAAGGAAGCAGGGCAGTCTGAAAGAAGGTGACTGGTTTTCTAAATGCCTTAAAAACAAAACAAAACAAAAAAAAACTTAAAAGTCTTTGAATTCATTTTTTAAAATAACTTGAAAACCTGTTTTTTGCTATTAACAAGAGAATAGAGCAGGTCAGGGATTTAGCTCAGTGACATAAGCATCTGCCTGGCAAGTGTGAGGTTGCCAGTTTGATCCTGGTACCAAAACAAACAAAAAATAAAAAACAAAAAACCCACAAGAGAATAAGCATAACAAAGAGAGATAAATTAGTCAAAATGTTCCCTGAGCATGTGAACTGCTTAGGTAAAGATGGTATCTTTGTGGGATGGCTATTTAATCAGGTGTGTATGCTTTTTAGTGAAGTGTTAAAAGGAACTTAAAGTCAGATGTATATTTTTTGTGTGTGTGATACAAAAAGAGCATGTGAGAAAAGCTTCATTTCAAAATAGAATCCTTAGTTTCCCAAAGTCTGAAGTGTAGCACAGCAGGCTGTGGATGTCTGCAATGCATTCTGTGGCCTGCGAAGAGGGTTAGGCTTCTGGCTGAAAAGTATTGTGAGAATTTTCATGTTTCATCAGTAGATGCTGGTTAAAGAGAGTGTGTTAGCCAAGATTCTCCAGACAGACAGAACCAATAGAATCTATCCATTATCTGTCGTGGGTGTCTATCTGTATGTTTATTTATCATCTTTATCTATAATTTATCCTATCTCCTCTCTCTCTGTCTCTCTGTCTCTGTCTCTGTCTCTCTGTCTCTGTCTCTCTCTCTCTCTCTCTCTCTGAGAGGGGACTTACTAGGGGAATAGTTTCATGTCAATATGGAGGCTGAGAGGTTCTAAGACAGGCTATCTGCAAACTGGGGGCCTCGGGATACCAGTAGTCTCAGTCCGTGAGAACTGGGGAGAAAGTCGGGATAAGTCCTGGAGTCTAAACACTGGAGAACCTGAAGATTTGACATCCAAGGGCAGGAGAAGAGTGTATTTCAGCTCCAGGAGACAGAGAGACAGAGACAGAGACAAAGACAGACACAGAGGCAGAGAGAGGGGAAGACAGAGACATGGAAAGAGCGATTTGCTTTGCTTTTGTTCTATCTGGCCCAGTACAGCTGGAGCTTACCTTCCCACATTGAGGGCCGTCTTCTGTACTTATTCCCTTCACACATGCACATATTCATCTCCTCTGGAAACACACTCACAGACATGAGGTTGGATAGGGAAAAAAAAAAAAGGATAAAAAGGAAACAAGGAAAATTTTAATTTAAAAATTGGGTTGCAGGACCCAAAAGTTACCCACGGTTACAATTCTTTTTGCCCTTATAGAAAATTCATTCTAAAAACATCCCTAAAGGTCTTAAAGATACAATAAACCTATAAATTGGAAGCACTCATGCTTTTCACTTGTAAATTGCTCTTCCTTCTATCCTAAGGAAGCATCACTATTAAGTGGGCAGCATAGCTCTAATCTTTAAGCATGAGTACATGGTTTGCATTCTAACTTAACCCATCAGACAGACTTGGGAGAGTCTGGCTGCCAGTAAGCATGAATATACAACTTAGATAACTCACTTTAAAATCATCCTCAAACCACATAGAACCCACAATTCCGGACTGTAATGCACCCTTCTTTTGAATGTCTGCACTCTCCTCTGAGTCAATGTTTCTTCCTGCCTAATAAAACTCTGTGCTTTTCACTGATGTGTCTTTGAACTTTTTTCCATTATGAA